TGAATGGCACGTAGCAAACACTACGGGAAGCAAAACTGCTGTAGGCAAAAAGTTGTTGGTGTCATAATATCATACTCTAAAGCGAACAAATCGAGTCGACATGAGGTCGGGCTCTAAAGCGAATCACTCACGTTCCATACTTTGCGGTAACATCCAAAAACAGATCTGGCAGGAAGAGCCAACACACTCTCTGGGACGTGGACTTTTCCGCCTGAAAAGACACGTTGCAAAAAGTCGGGCGTGAGAACTGGAAGGAGACATCATATCGTATGACTGGAGGCAAATCAAGCAATGCAAGCCATACGACACTCAAATTAGAGGACCGTAAAGGACCTAAATCACAAGGCTTGAGATTTCCAATGTCCGAACAGAACTCGTCCGTTAAGTTGAACTTGGTTTCAAGTTGTAGTTGTTAACGCTCACTACATTCCTGGCAATTCCAACCCCTGGACAGGCCTGTTGCTGTCTGAACCAAGCAAAGAACCCTATTTTTTCTCACCGAGCCTTCAAGGAATTTTCCTTTCCAAACGGTGCCAAACGCCCTGGGCCAGCAGTAAAATTGGCCAACAAAGTGTGGGAGTCTGTTGGAGAGGAGCAATATGTTTGGGCTTCTTGTTCCTAATGGCTTCTTGCTCCTAGTAAGGCCAGGAGCCCTACTACCGTCCTTGTTCCTAGTAGCGATGCCAGGAGCCCCTAGTAGCGTCCTTGCTCCACATGATATTTTGTGATGATGAATCAACATGTGAGATTCCTCTCAAGCTCGAGCGGTTCTGCTTTTTTCACCAGAAGCATGAGCATGGTAATGAGAGCTCGATGCACAAGATGTCTGCTGCGGACAGCACCTACGATTGCACTTTCAGTGTGGTGTGGACAAAATGGCTACGGTATGGTTAGGTAAAACAACTCAAACACGGCAACCTCATGCTAAACCAAACAACTTCAAAGCATGTTCCACCATTTAGACAAGCTGCCCATGGCCCAAGGGTTTTCCTTTCTTGAGCTCCACGATGTCTTCCAGCCTCAGTAAGACCGTTTCATGATGAAATGATGAAATACGTTGAAGCAGTGATTCGCGAACAACCCCCCAGTCCGAAACAGTAATCCAACGTATTCTCCGTGTGGCTATAGATTGCTCTCCTCAATGAACAGCAGGCACGAAAAGGCTAGCGGCTAGCTTCGCCAACCAAACTGCAGTATGCTCCGTGAATGTCACACTGAAGTAGGAACATCGATCAGCTAGATCTGGATGAAAACCGCTGGAACTCTGACAAACAGAAGACATCAGCAAACATGTGTGTATATATAACGATATATATATATATGTTGTTTGCGGGACGTCAACATCAAGGCCTTTCAATCAGACTTGATTTCTGCTTCAAAAGAGAAAGAACCTTCAACCACGTCCTAAGCCCCCTACTTCCGGCCGACCACCACAGAGACAATGTCTCCTAGCATCGAAGACTGTTGAGGCCTCAAAGAAGCACTGCAAACTGACGAAGACTTTGGCAGCCAATAGGTTTGGAGTTTTCAAAAAGAACGCTAGGGTTCTGCACAGCAAAATGTGAAACCTTAAATGATTCACCAACCACATCCAACCACTCTACCCAATAGCAATTTCTAAACATACACAACATAATCACCCCAGGTCTGAAAAAGAAAGCCACGTCGCAGAAGTCCCTGCCGCAGTAGCACCAAGTTGAGAGCAGAATAGCACAAGGATTCCATCAAAGCAAAAACATCAAAGCGTATCAGCGTATCCCAAGAAGACTGCAGGCTACATGGTCACCAAATCTCCCACATAAGCCGCAACAAACCAATCAAACAAGTACGTACCCCCCTCAAGAGCTCCCAAGCAGCTTGTCGAATGGTAAAGCAACAGTATGTTCAACTTGTTCTTCATAGTTCCCCAGCAAATCCACCCTTCAAGAGCTGGTCGAAACACAGAAAGGAAATTCGGCTGTTGAAAACAACCTGTCATGATCTCTCTCGGGAGTTCGTGCTGAAGGGACGCAGGTGCACTTTGACTAAGTATATGATTCTTCAGCGTCGAAGAGAAACACAGAACAGCAAGCAGAACGTATATGTTTGAGACATTGTAGGTCTTTCTTGGATTCACTTGCGTACTCCGTGCCACTGTTTATAGAATAAATATACATCCAAGCAAGAACGCCGGACACGCCGGACACGGTTGCACACCTCGGCCGCCCTCCGAGGTTCGCGCGGGACGCCGTCGGTGCGTGGCGCATGTTGCACCTTCTTCGACCCCACGGCAGGTGGAGCTGTCACCGCACCGACCTGTGGCACTGTGGTGTCTGGAAGCTACAGTAGTAGCAGGGGCATCGCTACTCGGAGCAAGGACGCTACTAGCAGCTTCTTGCTCCTAGTAGTGATGCCCTTTGTTACTAGTCGCGTCCTTGTTCCTATCGTTTCCAAGGATATGACATTCAAAACGAGATGATCACACATGCCGTGTTGGACAGTGAACATGTTCCTGTGGATGTATCTTCCATTGTTGCGATCGCTGGTTTCCAAGTAAGTAAAGTGATCCCTTTCACATAACATATCTATATCCTCTAAACATTGCCATGTGTTGTCATCCCTGTCCAACAACCCAACAACTCGACAGGTTTTAGCCCAGCTATTGGGTCCAAGCATCCTACAGCATGTCAGGCACAAAGATACACAAGTCTGTATGAGACAGCTGATCGTGGCCTGCTCTGCCTGAGAGACAGCGGTTTGGCCCATGGCCTGACAAAAAAAAACTCACAACATGCAAACCAATTTCAACTGTCACTACTCGCATAGCTGTAGGACAGGGATTTTGGCAAAGGCATGCCGAAGGCTCGCTGCTTGTGTTTGTTGTTAGTTTGCGCAGCCAGCTCAGTTTGTTTCTCCGTGTGCATCACAGGTCTGCAGCTGTTTGTTATTGCTTATCAGCTCTTTGCTTATTTTTTTTTGCAAAATCATCGAAGTTACTGATCACTGTGCCAGGACAGCCATTGACAGGCAGTGCCCCCCCCCCACACACACACACACCGTCATCTCTCCCAAACATGTTCACCAAACTCATTCAACTTACAAGCTGCCTACGACAGAAGTTCCATCGACACAAGTCAATTGAAGCAAATACCTGGATTTCTGACGGAAAGCACCTGTTCTTGCAGACCAACCTGGTTGGCGATTCAAATTCACGAGGTGAAAAAATGCAGCTATGGATTCTGCTGTTGAGTTCTATGAAGTTGCTCGAAACATTTCACCTGTTGGCACATATCATAAGGTGATTGTTCAACATCAAACACCTGATGGCGGTCTCATTTGGGTTGGCTCTAAGGAATGACATATTTGTGCAAACGCCCTTTAATCAAATGGCTCATCACGCTTTGAGCACCTACAGCTTCCAAAGAGGCGCTTGGTTTGCCAAACGATGTTCACAAGCATCCTGAACTTCACAAGTGAGTGACTACTCACTGAAGCTGGCTCACTGCACGATAGCAATGCAATCCCATAAGCTTGCTCTGTGATGCCTGTAAAGATGCAAAAGAGCCCATTGAGAATCAAACTGCAGTTCTTTATGGATTGAATCTTTACAAATTGATTGAACAACTTCCCAGCAATAAAGCATCACAATACAATTTGCAGTAAGACAACCGGGGCCAGCAAGTACTGATCGATAGTTTTTCCCGCAGATTCCGCTGTCTGGCAAACATTGTGAAACAACATTACTGTAGTACTGCATCATAAAGATATTTCTGTAGAGTGTTTTGTCAGGATTACTGTAGAATTGCCCAAGGGTCATTTGCGCGAAAAGCTGCAACTATGCAAAGCCCAACATCATTCTGCTGGTCTGAAGAGACGCAGTACCTCGAGCTTCCGCATGCTCCAAACATGATTGCCCTGCAAACAAATAGGAATCATTGTGCATCCCCGAGACATAAAGCCCAGGTCATTCTATGCCGATATGCACGCGATGGAAAAAAACGCATATGTTATCCCACAACACACTTTGCATTTTGACTAGCAAACAAATTATCACCCATGGTTTGTACAAGTAAGGTCCTATGTCAAAGCATACCCGTATGACCTTCAGTCAAGACCTCCACTTCATCTTGTATCTTCATGACCACCCCTACCATGAGCTTCCCTGTACCATAAAGCTTGTCAGCAAATAGAACTGCTGGTGTTGCGAATAATTCCTTGTAAATCGTAAACGGATGTTAAAAATCAACGGTGTTTATGTGCTACAACCAGTAGCCTTAGCTTGGATCGAACATGGCCTTTTTGCAGGAACGACTGAAATGAACGCGCCATCAAGGTTTTTTCGTGCAAACACAGCAGGCTATCACCGCGACAAGAATTGCTTTGTTTGAAATCTGAGACTGTACTCTTCAAATTAAAATAACAAAGCAATTCTGGTTGGTGATGCGAAGCTCCAGGCACATCAGAAATGCCTAGAAGTTCACCTTCCTTCAGCCCTTCAAAATCAACACCATCAAGCTCGTCCTTTCCCTTCCAGTGGTCCAGGCCGCCTTTAGGCCTTTTTGCTGAGCTTTGTTCGCAGCGCCCTGTTCGAGCCGAGCATGAGCGTCGTCGGGCATGTGATCGTCATGTCCCGAAAGTCCCTTGGTGCCTTGCCTAAAGGTCTTCTAGAGAAATGCAAGCGGGTGCACCAGTAATTCGACCAAAGGGTTCTCTAGGCCCATGGATTCAAAAAGCAGTCACTATTCTGCGAAAATATGCTTTCAGATTGGAAGCAGGACATACAGCGCAGGTGGCTGTGCTGGTGTGAAAGTGACCTGACACCGCCATGGGATGCCGGAGATGCCAAAGGCCAAAACTCTTGAGAGTGAGGCCTGGCAGTGAAAACACTAAACTCCCTCTGGCGTGGCATACGGAGTTGCTGGATGATGGTCACACGGACAGAACGGTTTCAGATTCCAATGAGTTGATGACAACCAGCAAAGGTAGGCAGCATGAAAGACCGTCAGCTGAGAACAGCAAAACTATTGCAGAAACGGACTGATGCACAGTAACCACAGGGCACTTGTCCGCAGACTCTGGCTCTTTGCCTTTTCATTTATGTCAGTGGTGCTCGTGGACCAAGACAAATTGTCGCCGGATCTCAAACTTGTGCGCATATCCGTTTGGGTCGTGCTTGTGTCCCCAGTGGACGAGCTGCCATTGTGAGTGGTGCTCACGACCCCGCTGGTCAAACTCTCACTGGTTGTCGTAGTGATCAAGCCCCCACCAGTCGAGCTCTCACTGGTTGCGGTAGTGCTGGTCGAGCTCTCACTGGATGTGGAAGTGCTGGTCGAGATCTCACTGGATGTGGAAGTGCTGGTCGAGATCTCATTGGTCGTGGTGGTGCTGGTGACGTTGGGTATCTGACCTGCCCTCAAAGCAGCCACTTGCTCCGCAGTGATGTCATCCCCAGAATTCAGGATGGGGAAGCTCAACGAAGCCTCCAAGAACAGACGGATTTCTCACCAAACTGTGGGGTGAGGGTCGGATCGGTCGATCAGTCACCGGAGGTATAGCGAAAGAAAATGAAACAAACAAAGCCGACCATACCGGATCGGTCGCCACTAACAAGCTTGCAAATCTGTATGCTGGACTTCAATGTCTGCCCAACAACCGCATTATCTACGTTACCCGCATGCTCCTACCCAGCCCTGGCATGGTGAACAAACCAACCCAACCTTACCGGATCGGTCGCCAGGATCGGTAACCAGAGAGGTCGAGCTAAGGAAAAAAAAGCAACCATACCGGATCATACAACGTCACAATCCCTGAGTCGCTGATCTTGCTGATCCGGAAAACATGATCGCAAATCCATGGTTGCTGATCTCGCTCCGACAGTCGCTGATCCTATAGTTCTTGGTCGCTGATCCGGGAAAATTGGTCCCTGATCCAGTAGTCGCTGATCCTGAGTGGTCGCTGATCCTGAGTGGTCGCTGATCCTGGTCGCTGATCCGGACCCTCAGTCGCTGATCCGACATTTATTCCAAACTGTGTACACGCCCGGTGTGACTGCCTGCTATCGCCAACAAATGTCAATAGGTATCAAAAATACCTCCCTCTGTCTGCTACAAGTTCTACTAGTTTATATACCTACCCCACCAGCCCACCACACATACTATCTCTCAGGTTAAGTCTGCTCATGGCCACTACTGGGTCACTAACCAATAAACTGAACGCTTTTGCGCAAGTTTCACGAAGAAGGTGGGCCTCTGCGACTTGTCGGCATTCTGATTGAGTTGCTCCACTTCTTGGCTTGAGGTTGGCTTCCCAGGCATCATCACCTTTGTGTCCCTGATGAGCCCACGCAAAGTCACACACCACAATGGGGGCATCTCCAGTCGAATCAAATCCACAGCCAAGCATGGTGTGGTTGTGCCACAAAAGGAGCACCATGTGGCCTTACTTGGATTGGCCTCAACTACACACATCTCAACAGGGGCCTTCTCCTGTTGAGTAACCTAGAAAGTGGGCATCATTGAAAAATGTTCACGCGATCTCAACCAAGCTGCCAGAATTGTAAGAGCCGCCAGCATTTTGAACCGCATTGATACTGAAGTTGTGGACGCCTATCTCGGCATACCATGCTTTGGCACCGCGTACGCAGGTGTCTGTGCCCCAAGTAATCACTTCAGTGTAGTGAGGAAAGAAGCTGCCACCTGCAATTCTGTTGGACTCAAATTTGCAGTTCTGGAACATAGGAAGACTTGGTGAAAAGCAACATAGGACATCATAGGACATAGTTTAAGGAGGTTGAGAAAAAGCCAATAGCCGTCTGTGGTACAGCAGTCTGTGTTACAAAAGGGCCGCATCCGAAACAAACCAAAAGCTGATCCAAGATTATCCAAGTCCAGCCAGGCTTCCCCAGTTGGAATGAATGCTGCCCTTGTCCTTCTTGCTGGCCCACTCCTGTGCGCTGGCTGCAATCCCTGCGTGATAGATCAAGGGAGGTGCTCCATGTAGACAGCGGTAGTAGTTGATGTTTAACATGCAGCACTCCGCAGCTGTGTGGCCAGCACAAGACCTTGCCCGCATTGATTTTATTCGGCTTGAAGCTTGGAACATATTTGCAAACAAATGTCAAGAAAAAAGAAGTGGGATCTGATAGGTTGCTCATGAAAACTCATGAAGTATCTTCAGGTCTGTGGCGAAAGACCTAACCCGAATAGGTCTTTAGGAATTTCAGCAGGGTTGACCAAGACACGGAGGCTCCAGAATTTCCCACGGCTGCTGCAGGAAGCTCGGCTCGTAGCCATACTTCGCCAGAAAGGTCGGCTGATCGAAAGTGACCATCTGGTAGCTCCCATAGCCTTAAGCAAGTGCATACAATTCTTTTCAACAAGTCAATGTCCAATTAGCCCAGCTCATTCAACCTGTTTGCAACAAAAGTTCAATTCTAATGTTTCCAAATGACACTGGCCCAGTTGGTGACAGGCTGTGCCTCCCATGTCTTGAGAACAATCACTATTCCAGCGCCTGGTGCAAGCGTAGGTGCTGTTGATACTCTCTAGCGTGTAGAAGGACTGGCTATTCCTTTCCCAAACGGTGTTGCATTCACCTCCATCTTCGATGGGCCCAAAGCAAGCGTCTGGATTGCTGTTCACGTAGTCACAGGCGGCTGGACAAATGTAATTTGCATCTCCAGTCCGATCGCACTTCACTTCAGATCCATCCACTGTCACAGTCAAATTGGGATCACCAGAGCTTAAAACTGAGCGTGGCCATTTGCATCTGTACACCTTGGCTGCTGTAGCAAGCCATGCGAACCATGGCAACCACAGCACAAGCTGCATGTCTACGGATGGCCTCTACCAGCTCTTCCGTACAGCTTGAGCCTGAGCACAGTTGCGTTGCATTTTACTTCATCAACAAAACAGCTTTTTATGTTGCGCACTGTAAGGATTCGCATGACAAGACATGACAACCCACCACTGAAAAAATCAATTACACTCAGCCAACGCACAGTGACTCTTGTAGCCCCTTGGAAGTCCCTGGCTAGTTCGCAAAACCTTGCAGTGGACAAAGTGGACTCTCGAGCTCAGTATATATATGGAATCATATTCAAGCAGATAATAGTGTTCCCAGAACCCTCCTTTTTGCATCGTTTAGTCCGTGTCTTCCACCTGTTTGGATTTGTTGAAATCCATAATATACTGTACGGTCCCGGACTGAACTGTCAGACTGCCGCTCAATCCAGAGTGAAGCACCAAACCCACAGCGCGTAACGGAACGGTGTCTATGCTTTTTTTCGACGCATCTGTTCCAAGTCCACTCAAATCGTTGAGCCCATGAAAGCGAAGGTCTCCTCAGATTTTCGGATTCAAGGCGATGGGCCGTGATGCCTAAGGGCCAAACACTGTCCAGGATACCGCAGGTCAGAGAAATGCTTAAAGCGTGGATTCTTGCTGTTTAGCTTTGTGAGAAGCAGGTCAACTAACTGGAAGCATTGTATTTTTGTAGGCTCTCAAAATGTTGTGGAACTTGTAAAGACACATTTAAATTAACGATCCATTGAGTTTCAATACAAAACCATCTCACTATTGTTATACTACAAGCTCGGAATGCCAACTTCAGTTGAGACTCTGCAGTAACCTCCACTACTTGACCCTTCTCCAATGCTTCTACCTCATCCCGTAGCTGTTGCCAAAGCCGCACTGCCAGGCTCTGTGTGCTGTCAGGCTTTATGGCTAACAACGCGCAGAGCAGGAAGGGCAAAACCAAAGCTGCACGACTAAGCCTGAGAGCGCGGTCCCTCCATTTCTTTTGAAGCAAGAACAAACAAATGCATCAGATTGTTTACTCTATTTATATCTGGTTGTTCGCTCGTAGGACAACATGTCTGCCCTTCTGGATTGAAGGTTTCTACCACTGAGATGGTAAGGGAAAATCTGTCAGTAACCCGGATTAAACAATCATGGACCTTGATATATAGAGGGACGAGAGTACACGAGGTTGTAATCTCCGAAACATCTTCGTGCCCAAATTCAGCAGTTCAAGCAGCCAGACCCAATGGTTGTCAAAGCTCACAGCGGCTAGAGCCAGGGATAGGAAACAGCAGCATTGAGTCACATTGACCTCCAGGTGTCCAAGTGCTCCTAACAAAATTAATAGCAGGTTAATACACGATGTACTTTTGAATCTAGGGCAGGCAAGGAGTTGGGAAACAACATCAATTCAAGCGTAGTCTACGGATGACGGGAATGGTTGTTCAGCCATTCATTCATGTAGCTGAAATATCATAAAGCCTGGCCTGAGGCTGGACAAAGGGCTGCACCATAGCGCTTGTTGCAGCCATGGCCAAAGTGATTGCCAAAGACACGCACACGCCATCTTCGCTACCCACGGTTGACACTAATGCCACCGCCACAAGTTTCTGAATGATTTCCATATAGAGGTTTCTACACCGAGCATACTTGAGCAATAAGTTCTTTGAACCTGCCAAAACCCGTTCAGACTCAGCAATCTCTTCCAAGATGCAACGTTCCATCAGGGCCTCTGCAAGAACACAACATTTGAGAGCGGTTCGCGTGTCTGACATTGCTTCCACTAGGCTCATGACATCTACGGTCTCTGTATGAATTGATCGGCTGGAGTTGCCTCCAGTTGTCACAGCTTGACCGTGGAAGGAAAGCAAAAGTAATTGAAATCCCAAGCCAGGCTAGGGTTTCCAACTTTGATTTCTTGACAAGGCCTATCAAAGAAAGAATTAATACTTAGAGGCAATCATGTACAACAATATTGAAAAGGAGCATCCAAGCATATTGAAACGTGAGCAGCTGGGCCTGCAACTAGCTTGGCGGTCACTACACCATTTCGTAGTTGGATTTGAACACGCCCGCGCATCAGGACTGCAATGTGGGCGGCTGACGCTGCCACAACACGTCGCGAGAGCACACCCTCCTTCACAAACATCTTCTCCTTGTTCGCTCGGTGCAATCTGCGCGTAACATCGTGTAACTGAGACTGGCTATGTTGTGGGGTCACAGTGAAGAAAGAATGGGTGGGTCAGTCGATACCAATACTTTAGCATTCAAAACAAATCCAGCATTCAAAACAAATCCAACAATCCAGAAAGGTCTGCAAAGCCTCAAACAAGTGACCCTGGATGAGCCTTTGGAGTCAACCAGCCAAACCTCAAGATCCCTTTGATCTGCTGCTTGCGCAATTGTTAATTTGGCTGGTCGCAATGCCAAGTGCTGCTTGGCATACAAGTATGCCAAGCAGCATGGAATCACCACTCCATAGCAAAAGCCAGCGCCAAAGCCAATTGCATCCACATAGTGCCATGAGTCTGGGTCGCACTTCAAGTGTGGCAAGTTCTTCCGAAAAGCAAACCTTGACTTGCTCATGGACTAGAAAGGTGCGGCTGAGCTCGTCCGTATCGTTTGGTTGGATAGTGAAAGACTCCGAACATAGATAAAAATAGGAAAGCGCAGTTGTGGGAAGTCTTAGAGCTTTGATCAGTCAAACGGCTCCTTCAGGCTCGCTCCTTCTCCATCCACCCTCTGGCAGCGCAAAAGCCTTGAGGAGCCAAAAGCTCCGCCCACGTAGAATAGTGTCAGAGCCTGCAAGTCGGTGCCAAACCCGGATCCAGAGAATAATTCGATTAGTATACTGTAATTGCATCTCCAAAAGGCTACTTGGGAGGCCAAGCTTAACTTGAGGCTAGCTTTGCCAAAGCCACAAGAAAGAAAGAACCCTGTCCAGTAGCAAGCTTTATCAAAATCTCCGGGTCCACAGTACTGGAATCGAAAACGATGCCCTCGCACACGGAACAAAATGACTGCAAAGAGATTTGATAGGCCATCTCCGCCCAACAGCTCAGCACCTGCCTGCAAGCCGGAGTTGATGCCAAGTCCGTAGTAGAAGTACTCGATGCCGAGGCAAACCAAAAGCACCAAAAGCGGCGAGAGAGGAGCCAGCAGTGCAGAAGCCATACGCACAGCGACGGCATCAAATCTACACTGCAGGTTCAGAGTACCCTTTAGACTTGCCACGGAGAATTGAGAGGCCTTTCAGGATGCGTCGACCAAGTGTGATTGTTCGTCTTTCCAACACTTCACAAGATGGGTAGGGTGAGGCCGCGTTCATCTTTCCCAGGAGAAGTAAGAGCTAAGTCCGATAGGAATATCAACTCCAGTGATTCTGGTCAACGTCACTTCTATGAACAACAGTATTCAGTATTGATCATTATTGATCAAACTATCAACATCTCCACCCTTGGCCTCCATGTAGGGTAGTTCCCAAAAGCGATCTCTAACTGCGCCCTCCTCTTGCTCAACTCTCGCCAACAGAGCTAATACTGCCCAAAGTTGAATGGTCTGCAGCAGGATCGGCGCTTGCGCCCTGAGTTGCTCCTTCAAGACGCTCTTCACCAATAGGCGTGGGGTTTGCCTGGCCAAATCGGTTCAACCGTGAGGTCATGAGCCATGAAAGGATGAGAACCCACCAAGGCCAAAAACAGGATCTTAGAAGAACTTGCAGCGAACCGTCGACCCAGGCGCCTTGCTTCTGACTCTGAGCTTTGAAAGAGTCCCATCCATACACATGCCAGAGCCAAACAAAGCAATACCACTACCACGGCTGAAGCTGCACCAATTTCCCACAGTTCTGGAAGCATCTCATTGCTCAAACACGGCTCACAAAGCCTGTTGCTTGCATAGTAATGAGCAGCACAATCTGAACATAGGGTGCCTCGATATCCGTCAGCGCACTCCGGAAACAAGGAACCATTGCTGGCATGGGAGGCGTTGCATCTGGTGTTGCTAGGCTTTAAGCAGCGAACCGCAGACTTGTCTTGTACTTTCAAACGGGCAAACCCCAAGAGAGGCTTGGCAAAGACAAGCTCTTCACCAACCTTGGGGCAGTACAAGTGATAGTCGTGGCACGGTAAACACTTGCCACCATCCAGTGCCTGGCCCATTGGACATCCGCAAACTGGAGCACCTTGCTCGTTGAGCAATTCTCCATATGTGCAGTGACACATGGTAGAGCCTTCCTCTGAGTTGCTTGCTTTGGGGCATGGTTGACAAATGCCGTCGTATCCATTCTTGAAGGTGTTTTGCGGACACCTAGTGCACTGCGTTCCATGCCCCTCCCACCCAGGCAGGCACGCACAAAGCTCCTGGGGTAGAAATACCGAGGGGGTAACTTGAAGTGATTTGGATGTGATGGCATAACAAGCATAGCCACGGGCTGTGCTCACTGATGATCTCTCATCTGTTCTCTGAAGCAGCCCCCTGGCCAAGAGGTCCAAGGGTTCCTGGGCGATTGCATGATCCACCATCCACACTCCAGGCAACAGCATTTCTCACCTAGTAACGTAAGTCTTGGTGCTTGATTGCTGGCTGCACACATACTTAGCACGCATCAGGATCACAAATGGTATCATCAAACTATTGATGATCAAAACTACCTCATCATGTTAAGACTGCAAACTTGCCAGGTGCAATGACATGCGATATCTATCATTCGTGTGAAGACAACACTGTGGCTTCGCATCTGCGTCAGTTAGTTGTTGGTCTGTTGTTGCAGGTCGCCAACTCCTTGCTGAAGATATACCAGGACCAGGCTCTCTCGCACGGCCTTGGAATGCTTTTCTGGATGGCTGCCAGCAGTCCTTTTAGGCGTGAGGCTCACGGTGTGAGGGGCTTTGAGTGGTCCTTTGAGGGTTTTATTGTTAGTGTCCCGGAGGGTGATGGGCTTTTTGACTCAGCTTGACTTTGTTCGTCATGTCTGTATGTTCAAGTTGTGTCCTTTAGGCACCTGCAGCACCTGACCTGACCTATATGTC